GGCTAGCTTAATCATGGCCATACAGTTCAAACCTCTGCAGCATTACAAGGTCTTTGAGGAATTTTCTAGCACAAATTCACGATTGCAAGAATGCCTCAAATAATTTCGGGGGAGCCTTGGGGAACTCCGGTTTCATCTGTTCCTGGAACACGAATGATGCTCATCGTATATCCCTAAGAATGGTTGGATGATTAGGGGTCAACAGCAATAATGTCAACATGATATAGATATTGTGACTTCACACAAAAGTCACAATTATGAAATGACAATGGAACTTCTGCAAGCACACAAGTTGCATCATGTGTGTCATGACACATGTGTCTTTTTTCCTGGATGTTCATGCAGCCAGTGTTCAGTGATTAGATGTAGGCGGATCTGTAAATAGGTTCTAGAAAAAGCTGTTTACGTTGAGTGGTTTGTACTAAGGATTTTTGTGAAAAACAAATTGTCAAAAAGTATTTACCACTGAGCTACAGTTAATGAGGTTTGGATGAGTCAGATTTTTTTTTCTTTTGTTCCAACTTGGAAGTGGTAATTGTCTCACCCAGAATGTTTATTGTCCACAGGCGTGGACATTGCAAGCAACTTAAAATGCTACTGTCCTGTACTTTCTGTATTTATTATTCCTCACATCCTTCCCTTCAATCACGTAGGAAGCTCTGTGCTCATGTACTCTGTACATCTCACCCAATAGATGAAATAGGATATAGTTTGCTGAAGTATAAATCTAATGGGTTTAAAGAATTGTGTACTGGAGAGAATTGCTCCAGGTTCTCTATAATTGGATTAAAACTCATTCGCAAGTCAAGTGTTCATAAATCCCCAAAAAGATGTTATATTGCCTGCTATGCAATAGAAAAGGATGGTGATGAGCTCTTTAAAGCCAAAGGGCAGCTTGAATTCATACCGTTCTCTTGCTGCAAATACTCTGGTTTAGTTCAGGGCCGCTTCATGTGTTAACTCCTTATGTGAACTATAGTCTATGAAGGGCAACCAGTTTGGTGTAGTGGATAAGGCACCAGCTAGAAACTGGAGGGCATGAGTTCTAGTCCCTTATTAAGCATAAGGGCAATTGGCGACTCTAGGCCAGCCACTCTCTCTCAGCCCTAGTGAGGGGGCAACAGCAAACCACTTCCAAAGAAAACGGCTGGGACTAATCCAAGCAGCTGGCAGAAATCTGACTGACTTGAAGGCAGATACACACAGGGAGAAGGAGAGGGAGAAGGGGAGTGAGTGAGTGAGTGAGTAAGAGAGAAATATTACTTACAATGCTACAGTGCAGAAAAGGTTCACAAAATACTATAATTGCCCTTGTCCCTGTCTTTCAAGGCCACTTATTTTGGGGTGCAAAATTTCTCCTTGATTTCCAAAAGTTGACTTTGGGGCAGAAGAAGGATGACGGCCCTCAGAAGTGGGACACAAATGTCAGCTAAGAAAAATACTAAGCCCATCATACTTAAGGTATTTCAGCTGTCAAGGGGTCAGGAAAATCCCTGTAACAAAAGTCGCTGTTAGGTTGACTGTAGATGAGAGCTAGAGCTGTGCTGCAACACATCCTGATGAAAGGGAAAGTGACCTTACCTGTTGAAGCACCCCACTCCCAAATACTCTCAGGGGGAACTGGGGCATTTGTGTCCAATTCTCAGTGTTTTAAACTCCCACAAAGTCACACTTTTTGACATTTTGCTTAGGAAAAATCCTTTTTCCATACATGTTTAAAAGATCAAAAAGAAAACGAGCGCACTCTCTTAATTCAAAAATCTTTGTGACGCTTCAAAAGGCACATTCCAGTCTTGTTTTCATTGCTCGGATATGGGGAGCAACATTAAAGAGAGATTTCTGAGAAGTCAAGTCAAAGCTTCTTTGAATTGCACTCAACTTCTGGGTTGTCTTAGCTACAACACAGAAATGATTTTTCTTGCATGATTCTTTTTGAATTACCAGTGGAGGTGATAGCATTGGGATTTTCTGCTAGTCTCCTATCCAAATATTAACCAGGTCTAGCACTGCATAGGTTTGGAGCCCAAACACAACTTTGCCACTACAGAAATCAGGAAAACTTCCCTTTTTGGAGCAGGAAAAACTGCAGGATAAGCCTTAGGAGACAGTATGATTAAATAACAGTATACAATCTTTGTAGAGGATCTTCCCAAAGAAACATTAGTATATATTTTCTTCTATATCTTTTGCCCTATATGGATGGCTGGGCAACAATTCTCCAGAAATAACATGATTTTTGCGTGCAGTCACTGCAGAAATATTTCTAAAATATGTTTACTTTTAAAGAAAAGAAGTCTTTTGGCAAATAAGCCCAAATCACCGATTTATAAAAAGAAAGAATAACAGGAAATAGAAACATAAATGCCACTTCTTTTTAAGAATCTCTCCCACGTATCTGGAAATTACCCTGTTTTCCTTGCTCCATTGTAAAAGGTCAGAAATGATTCTTTCTTCCAAAATAAATTAGAGATACTGGCTGGCTAAGGCAATTAAGGTTTCTAAGCCTTCTTTTTCTGCCTCCGGCACCACAATCTGACTATGATTACTGAATTCTGCTATCAATTTGAATTGAAAAGCTTCTCCAGGCTGTAGTATAGGTAGTCCTTGACTTACAACCACATCTGAGCTTTAAATTTCTGTTACGTGAGTTTTGCCCCATTTTATGACCTTTCTTGCCACAGTTGTTAAGTGAATCATTGTTCATAAATTAGTAACACAATTGTTAAGTGAATCTAAATTTCCCCATTGATTTTGCTTGTTAAAATGTTGCAAAAGATGATCACATGATCTTGGGACATAGCAACAGTTAGAAGTCTGAACCATTAATTTTGATCACATGATAATGGAGATGCTACAAGGGTCATGTGAAAAATGATCAGAAATCATTTTTAAGGCCATTGTAAACTTTGAAAGGTTGCCAAATGAACCATTGTAAGTCGAGGACTATCTATCTATATATCTTAAAACTCAGGAAAAAAGAAGCAATAGTCATTTCAGTTGCCTTCTATATAAAAATCCTGAATCCTGGTTCATGCAACCCTCAGAAATATAGAAGGTTGCAAAAAATTAATTAGTTATGTCCAGGCTGACACAAAAGCTTTACAATTTCAGACCGTTATAGTCAGGGATTTGCTCCTGCAGAAAATAACCAGGACAATGATTCTGCCATCTCAGCAGGTTGACAACAGTCTTGCAAAGATTTAGTGATTTACAAATAGCAATAGCACTTAGCTATATACCGTTTCATAGTGCTTTACAGCCCTCTCTAAGCGGTTTAAAGAGTCAGCATATTTCCCACAACAATCTGGGTCCTTATTTTACCCACCTTGGAAGGATGAAAGGCTGAGTCAACCTTGAGCTGGTGAGACCCGAACTGCCAAATTGCGGGCAGCCAGTGATCAGCAGAAGTAGCCTGCAGTACTGCATTCTAACCACTGTGCCACCGCAGCTCTTTCCAAATACATTGGAATATGCCCCATAGATGATTGGAGAAAGGAGTTTCCTTGTTTGGTTGTTTAGGCCAATCTTCCTTTGACTCAGATTGTAGCTACAATCACTACCTTCTCCAACCATATTCGGAGAGTAATTAATGGCCAAGAGCCATGAAGAATGTAATTCATCCTGTTTGAAAGGCATCAAATCAGGGAAGGTGAACTTGTATATTACAACCCTCCTGCCAAATGAAAACTTCAATAAATGAAAGTAATATAACCATCTGTTGGCTTGCTTAATGGGAGACACTGCACTTCATAAACAGAGTCCCTTGTCAATGAGATGGGTAGCATACAAATTTAATAAATAAAATAAATTTGTCAAACAGGCCAATCGTAAGAGTATGTTTTTTCTTGAATGCTCTTCTAAGTTTAGTGGTTGGCTACCAGGTTAACAGGTTCTGGAATAACACATAAAGTAAGTATGCATATATTTGAATAAAGCATTAGTTGTAGTCACCCGATTTTCCTAGAATGCTCTTTGTGAAATAGAGAAATTATGGTAAATTAGAATTATACTGTCATTGGTGTTTTGCTTTGCAGTATAGTATCTTCCTTTGTAAGTATCTTTAACATATCAGACAGGTACCAACATCAATATTTCCCTCTAGAATCATTGGCCCACTTCATCTTTGCAGCTTGGCTAAATAGTTCATTGTATCTCTGCGCCTAATTTATGGTTATATTATTTTCCATTTATTGAAATTTTCATTTGGAGGATAGTTGTAATACACACATTCAGTCTTCCCTGATCTGATGCTTCTTACATCGCCAGGAACTCAAGCAAGCCGCAGTTCTGCACTTTCCCAGGATTAAGTTATCTAGTGCTCATCAGAAGGAGGTCTACACCCTCAGAATTAAATGTTTAGCAACAGACTTACCTAAAGGCCAGATTATGAAAATATGTATGTGCAAAGCTACAGATCTATCAGTCTGAATTTTAAAGAGGAAGTAAGACATAAATAAGACTGTCAGTAAGTCTAACCCATGAAAAATCAAATATATTTTTTAAACATGGACTTAAATCTTTTTTTTTTAAACTAAACAATCCATCAAGAACCATAAAGGTGCTTTTTTCAAGAGGCAACTGGACTTTCTGATTTTTCTTTGAAGATGTTCGCTTCTCATCCCAGAAGCTTCTTCAGCTGAGCTGAAGATGCTTCTGGGATGAGAAGCAAAACGTCATTGAAGAAAAACCAGAAAGTCCAGTTGCCTCTTGAAAAAAAGCACCTTTGGGACAACCCATCAGGAACTTGTGTACCAACACTTTATGCTGGCTTACATCCAAACCCTATTGCATGTGAACATGTCCATGTATTGCCATTTGATTATTGCTGTCTGATGCCTAGTTACCTTTTCATATCACAGTTTTCTTTATTTAGGTACCGCTCTGAGACCCATCCCCAGCCATTCCTGGAGAGACTTCAGGACAGCTGTGCTGATAAAACATTATTTTAAAACCCCACGTAAAAATAAATTTCAACTTAAACAGACATAAAAGCACTTCTGATCAGAAAGTATTTTATTGGTTACAAAACTGCATTCTTGTTTAGTATCTCCCAACCAGGAGAAATCCAACTGTTATCTCCATTCCATGTCCCAATCGCTTAACAGTGTCATCGAGGGCACATGGGCAAGATCTGCTAAGCACTTAGGGAAGCTGTCAAGCAGAGAGGGGTTGCTGATACCTGGACAATTGATCTCAAGTACCTAGGGTGTCCTTTAAAAGAAGGCACTTTCTGTGCACTCCTAAAATCCATCAACAGGCCACAGTTGATCAGGATGCATGGGCTTTCTTTCAGATGGCAGGCCAGTAGCATCTCTGGAAATAGCAATAGTCTGGAAATGAGTCACTGTTTTTCTAAAAGTCCCTATTTCCTTATTGTTGCTCAGACATGTGTGGATAAGTATACAGATATTAAAGAGTACACCAACTGTGCCAACTGCTGGCCCGTTTCACAAAAAAACAAAAACAAAACAAAACTCGGCACTTGGTCTTTAAACTCTAGGCCTTTTCAGTACAAATAGCAAAAAATGGCACATATAAGTAACTCAACTGGTGCTCCCTTTTTCCAAACTCTGTAACTGCATGATCTAGGACCAGCTATTCTCTTTAGCAGCCAGAACAGCTTTACTAAATCCCAGATCCTGGGTATCATACGGCAAAATATGCTGGACTGTAATCCCAGATTATAAACTGTTGCACACCATGTCCTTGATCTGAGGCTGCTCAATAAAGCAGCTCCCATCTTACTACTCAACAGCCAGCTTTGACCCAGGTCAGCAGTAAACTTCTCACATGACGAAAGGGAAACAGAAAGCACTTCATTAGACCTCACTAGAGCAGCTCTTTCTTAAAAGGTCAAGAAAGAGGCAAGGTATACAGTATACAGGCAGATGAGGGCAACCTTTTCTAGTTTGCTGTTCCCTTTTGCATGTGTTGAATTGCCCCTCTTGCCCATCATCTGGTTGGGGAAGGCCACTTTGGAGAAAGGAGCCGGAGGCAAATATTCGTGTCCCAGGATCCAATCTGAGTTGGTCACCTGGACCACAGGTTTCGTCTTCCAAGCTTTCGGACTCAAAGGGAGACTCACAGGGAGGAACTCAGAAGTTTCCTGAGGATGGAGTCCATCTTCAGGGAACTTCTCTCTTTCCAGAATGGGCTCCAGGAGGAGTCCAAAAGTTTGGAAGACGAAGCCTCTGGTGACCAACTGAGATTGGATCCTGCAGAGGAATGAGAATGAGAAATGATGAAAATGGCTTATCAGGGAAAGATGGTCACTTGCACTTGTCTTTTTAAAATGGAGTAGACAAGATCCTATTTGGCAGAAGCATGAGAGTATCCTTTATGCAGGCTGGACTACTGGGGATAAGCAAAGGTCCTCCTCCAATTGCTTTGTGATGTTATTTTAACAGAAGATAAACAATAAAGAGACAGGTACCCACAAGGCAGATGGTACAGCCGAAGAACTATAAGGTTCCCAGAAAATCTTTCCAATTACGTCCACTGTCCCCATCCCAAAATGCTGATGAAGCAAGATGGAGCAAGGCTTTAGATGGCTTCCAAGCAACCCCAGGAGAGAGCCCATAACCACTTCAGGGCTGCTTAGCAGCAGCAGATCTCCACTCTGTGGTTGCTAGAGAAAGGGTAACACCCCGCCACCGCACTTCCTTCAGTAAAAGGCAGAAGAATGAAATAATGAAGAGCCATCCAGATGTTTAAAGTTAAGCAAAGCATCCCCAAAGCTACAAAGCAGATCTTGAAACCAGTTGAGTGTTTTTAGCCCGATCTCCCAGCAATACAGGCCAATTCATTCAATAAAAGGTCCTAAGTGGTGGTGCAGAAGTAAAAGTTCCATTGCCATCAACTGTCTCCATTAATGGAAAGCTCGTCTGTGGCCAGCAGACCTTCTCTATCAGCATCTCTCGCTGCAACCCCTGCTGGTGGCCTCCTCCAGGGCAGGCGAGCAAGGAGGGGCTGGTGCAGTTCATTATAAAGGGCAGCTCCAACGAGAAGGATGAGGAAACCCAGGATCTGCAGTCCATGAAAGACCTCCCAGCCAATGGCCAGGCTGACAACCCAGATGACAATGGTGCGCAGGCTATCAAGTACCATCCGGGTGGTGGCGCTGATCTCTTTTGTGACACTGATGCCAGCAAAGTTGAAGAAGGCAATGCTGCTCATATTGCCCAGCAGGGCTACAGCAATAAGTGGCAGATGGCCAATCTGGCAGAAGGCATCTATAGCATCTTCCAGTACCTGCCGTGGGCTACCGCTGAAACTGCCCCCAGGTATGAAGTACATGGGCACCAGGATGATGGAGAGTATGACGAACCCAAAGAAACCTGTTAAAAAGGAAGAAGAAATGAATATGATTGAAACCCAGGAGGATCATAAGTCTATCTCATCCAACTGGTTCTGTCAAAAAGGCAAAAGACAGCTTTGAGTTGTGCTCAAGACCTAGTGATCACATTGACGTAGTCTTGGCAAGAGTAAAAACACTGCTTGCCATTGCCTTCTTCAGGCTGTTTTGCTAATGTCCCAATCTGGATTTACCTCTGGACGTTCCCTCTAGTCTCCCACCAGTACCTTACTTGACTTCCAAGCCCAGGCAAGATTAGTCAGATACTGCTATCTGCTGAATTTCCAGGAGACATTCTATGTAAAATTCTTCCCATAGTTACAAAGCTGCCTTCTCCAACCTGCCAGTTTGTAGATATGTTGAGTCTATTACCCTCGGTATTCTCAGCTTTGCTGTCTGCTTATTCTGGAAGCTGTAGCCCTTATGCAGCTGTTATAAAACCTCAAAAAAAGTGACTGCTAAAAGAAGGGGATATTTTCCCCAAGTAAGAAAGGAAGAAAATTGGTCACTTTAGGAACTGTAGAATTATGCCATGCCTTGTACCATGAGGAAATACAAATAATCTTTTGGGGGACATTGTTTCAGCCATTAATTCACGGCAGTTCATGATGGTCTTCAAAGAACATAGAAGCTACCCAACTGTAGCAGAAAATTATTTATAAATCATATTTCCATTTGATCAGAGATGGTAGCTGTTGATCCATGTGAACCCAGAACATTACGAGACTGCTTACATACCTTCAGTGCCAACAGCCTGCAGAGGGTGAACATTGTGCTTGTAGATAAACTTCTCCTCCAGCACCATCTGAATGGCCACAATAACTTGGGCCATAATGATGAGAAGGTCACCTATGGAGAAGCAAGAAGCTGAGCATTCCATAAGGAAGACACTCCCTCAATCACTTATTTACTCTGTCAAAGCTTGAAAGGAAAAATGTGTGAAATAGCCACCTATTTTAATACATATGGAGATAGATGCCCTATGCCTCTTTTTCTCTGTAAACCATTTTTTTTATTACATTGTAGATCAGTTTTATGAAAGCCACTTAATTTAATAGAAATGCATATTATAAAATAATAAACCAGACACTTAGATTCCATTTATTCCATTTATTTATAATAGCCATTATGCTATTACTTGTTTAATATAAATAATCTAAGCCAGTTTCAATAACGGGTGACATAGAATGCTCTAACTATGAATTGAAGGAAGAAATTGTTCCTTAGCTCCTTGCTGGTCCATGTGCTTTCTGTTTTAGATTTCATCACTGATTTGTTGTGGGAATCCATTCCCCAGAATTTCCAACCTATGGGATAACTAACTGAGAGCTACCAGTGTTCTTACCTAGCAAATCTGGAGAGCTGTTTGGGGGATATACCATATATGTTGTAAATAGCATTCCAAAAATAAACCTCTTACTATTTGAATTTATATATTAGGAAACAATAAAATCAATACCTTTTCCAGTATGTTATTAATCATTAACTACAAATGGTCTGTCTGGAGCAGGGGTGTTAAACTCGATTTCATTGAGGGCCGCACCAATCAGAGCGATGAAATCTAAATCAGAAAGCACGGGGACACTGCTTTCTGAACCAAGATCTTTGGGGTTGGAAGAGAAGAGAAATGTTTTAAAGCTAAGCATCGCAATGCGACAGGAAGAAGAGCATGGTCAGAAAGCATATCTGGATATCAGGGACATCCAAGTCAGCCTGAGATCTCTGTCTGAAGGTAAAGAGCATGAACTGCCAAGGAAACCACTCTCCAGGATCCCCCTGTGGAGCCACTGGCTTTAGAATACCCCCTCCTTACATACCTGTGATGATCTCACTGAGTTTGTGGCTTTCATCATGACTGCTCAGCAAATCTGCCAGGCCAACCACCACCAGGCCTACAATGGTGATCAGGATGCCCAGCCATTGGCTCAGTACCAGCTTCCTCCCCAGGAAAGCTACGGAGAGCAGGCCCGTAAAGATGACCACAGCTCCACGCAACATCTGAAAGCTAGAAGCGCTGGTCATGTTCAGAGCTGGAATTGCAAAAATGGGTAGTGGGGGAAGAAGGAAGAATGATGAGTAGAGAAAAACTGGGACGAGGAGAGACAAAGAGCAATGAGAATTTGGGCTACGGTGGTAGGAACCGAAGCTTAAAATAGAAGAGCTTAGGTTGTCCCCCATTCCTTCCAGATGTTTCCCCCCCCTCCAGAAGCGAGAAGAAAAAGGACGACAAAGGATTGCATAATTGAGAATAAAGAGTGCTTCCATGAGTGAAATATTTTTATTCGGTCTCCCCCAACTTGGTAAGTGGTTATATCAACAGTTGTTATTTGGCACTCTTTACATACTCTGTTTCATCAGATGTAAACTATTTACTTATTCTGAATGACTGTTCTTTTCTTATTGCGTTAAAAACAGCTGTTTCTGAATGGAAATACTGTATGGTTGCATTTTTAAAACAGACGGAGGGAGAGGAATGTGTTTCTCAGCCCTTTCAGAAAGGCAAGCAGCAAAGAACAGAAACTTTAGAGATTTTACTTTATTTTTGTAGGTGATAATAAACAAACCTTGAAAATCTGTACACTTGCCTCCTGACCCTTCTTAAGCATGAGGTCAAGGCAGGGTCATTCTCAGCCTTTTTCTCAGGCTTTCTACTTTCCCAGGGCTGATCAATCGTTTTTCCTCTCCCTCCTTTTTCTCAAGGCCAGAGCTAAACTCCTCCAACGTTTCGTATTCTTAGCAAAACTCCCTCTCTCCTACTCTTTTACTGGATTTTTTGTTTTACTAGAGTCATGGTGGGCACAGAGGTTAGAATGCAGTATTGCAGGCTAACTCTGCCCACAGCCAGAAGTTCGATCCTGACTGGCTCAAGGTAGATTCAGCCTTCTATCCTTCCAAGGTCGGTAAAATGAAGACCCAGACTGTTGGGGCCAATATGCTTTGTAAATTGCTAAGAGCGTGCTGTAAAGCTATGGAGCGGTTTATAAGTCTGCACTATCACTATGGCTATTTTAGCCATTTGTAGACACTTACCCACATACATGAGGCTAGTCCCTGTCATATCACATAGTGCTGGAGGCAAGAAAAGCAATCGGTTAAAGGGCTGAGGAGCTGTCATGGTGGGTTCTGGCCTCCTCCGGTCAGTGCAGAGCAGGAGGTAGAAGACAGCCAGGCAGGAAAATTCCCCCAGAAACATGCCCACTGCCTGAAATGTAAACCAAAAGGTTGACAAAGTTCTGGACTGACATGGATAGCAAATCCCCAATAAAAGCCACCAACTTCTCTCAACCTCCTGGCAGAACTTGGACAAATTGCCACGTTGGTTTGAATCAAGGGTTCTGATATTTCATCGTATATTCATCACCGTTTCAACTGTGTTTTTTTCTGAAAGCCTCAATAGACGGTAGCCTCTCTTCAGTCCCAATTGGCTTTGGAAGCTAAGCAGGATTAGACCTGGTTATAAGATGGATGGGAGACCAGTAGGAAATCCCAGGACTGTAGATGACTTAAAGAATATCTAAGAAGACAATGGTCCACCATTTGTACTGTTGCTGGGAAAACTGTATTGATGTGCTGAAATAGTTAGGAGAACGAACTCAACTCAGTATGATGTTTTATTCCTCCCCCCCCCCCCCAATGGTGGAAATGCACAGGGAAACCTACACTAAGAGTGTGAGATATACTGCACCTATCAAAATACTCTTTATCTGACTTGATTATACTCCTATGTTCTGTCAACTTGAGAAATACTGGCATGACTATCACCCAGGATTGAAAGTAAGGGAAGACCAGCTGGGTTACTTAAGAGCAGCAGTACCCACAGGAATGGTCCCTGGCATACAGCTTAGCTTAAAAAAAGGGAAGGGCTTCAATTGCCAGATAGGTCGGTCATTTTGAACTGGTGCTTTGGCTGCCAATCTCCCTGCTAAAGTCGTGGTGATAGATGAAAGGAGTTCTTGACCACCAGATGTTTTGATGAGTGTTGGATTAAAAATGGGTTTTCTTGTTTTATTAAATGCGAGCACTATAAAGAATTTTGCAGATTTGGCACAAAAGGGGAAAAGCAAAGCAAAGAGGAAATTTCAATATAGGTAGTCCCCAACATATGACCAAAATTTCTGTTGTTAAGTGAGGGATTTGTTAAGTGAGTTTTGCCTCATTTTGCGACCTGTTTGGCCACAGTTGTTAAGTGAATCATGCAGTTGATAAGTTAGTAACATGGTTGTTAAGTAAAACTTGTTTCCCCATTGACTTTGCTTATCAGATGGTTGCAAAAGGAGATCACATGACCCCAGGACATGTGACCGTCATAAATACGGGTCAGTTGCCAAACACCTGAATTTGGATCACGTGATCATGGGGATGCTGCAATCATTGTAAGTGTGAAAAATGGCCAAAAGTCACTTTTTCAGTGCTGTTGTAACTTTGAACTGTAACTAAATGAACTGTTGTAAGTCAAGGACTACCTGTAGGCAGATTTTGTGAGTCTGAAGAACCTATGTTCTTAACATCATAGAAATGAGTTTGGCCCAGTGTTTCTTAACCTCAGCAATATTACATTGTGTGGAATTCAATTCCCAGAATTCCCCAGTCATCACTTGAGATGGTTTAGCTATAATGAAACAAAGTAGTGCAGAATCTTGCCAATGTTACCTGTAGAAAGGGATGCTGGAAATAGTGTGGTTCTGTCCCATGGCAGCCTGGTGCCTTCAGCTTGTCAGCCCACCTGAAAGGAAGGGGTGAGGCGTCAGTTAGAAAATGGGTCCCCAAGCTTTGGATTTACATCTTTTGGCATTTGGGGATGTGAAACATTATTACAAAAGCTTGTGCAAAATGGTAATGGAGGCTAGTTCATTCATCCCATGGTGAACACAATCTGCTAGAAATATCAGATTTCTACCTGTCACTCTGGTCATCCACCCTTCTTGTAGGATAATTTATTTTTGTTTTATTTTCCCAAATTTTGTTTTATTGTACTTTACTAAGTTATTTGATTCTGTTAGTTTTCATTGTTTTTTTATTTTTATTTTTTGTTTTAAATATGGTTTTACATTGTATAAGCCGCCTCAAGTTGCCATGGGTGAATTGGCAGCTAAATAAATAAATAAATAAATAAACAAATAAATAAATAACCCCCTACCAATGGAAGCCCCACTGGGAATCTGAGACTTTAAACATGCAAATACCTGTGCTACAGCTGAGTATCTCATGTAAGCAAGGTCTTAGAAGAAGCCAACTTGGAAGTGGAGATCTAACAAACAATATTTGCCAAAAATTTTCCATAATATTGCTTGGATGCCTCTCAGCTTCTGAAAAAGCAATTTGAGAATGCCCCTCTCTTCCTCGCTTCAAGCCAAAACTGCCTTTTTAATAGATGAGATGGTGGCAGTTGGAAATAGTCGGTCCACTGAGAAGCTGAAGAAGATACATACTCTGCTAGTAAGGCCAAGTTGAAAGACAAGAGAAGAACTATTCCTTAAACCCACATTAGCGCAGCAAACATCCTTCTCCAACTACAACTCAACACATCTGAAGAAAAAGACTGGGGAAAACAACCATAAATTAAGCATAGTTAGTTTATTGGCTTTGCACATCTTCTAAGGAGAAAAACTGCCCTGTGACACATTCCTTTGCCTGAACATGTCCCCAGCTTAGATACCTAACTGCAAACAAAAACTGCAAAGAGTTTATTTGCTGACACCAGGCCAAATCTCTCTGGAGCTGCTGTAATTAGAAACTCTGATATAGCAGAAAAAGTAACACACGAACAGATCTTTCACAGCTCAGGTGTCAAGGCTGCTATTCCACTATGCCAAAAGTAATATTTGGTGGAAAAAAAGACACCCAATAATTATATATATAGTAAGTACAGAGTCACTATTGCTAAACGTATATTTTTTACATTGCAACGTTTCAGCAATGCCGATGGAAGGTAGGGTTCAATTAAAATATGTTTTTTTTCTCTTTTGATAGGGATATGTTTTTAAATCTTTTTGCCAAAAATGAGTGAGAAACAGGGCTGCCACTATTAGGATGCTTGTAAAATATACCAACAGGATCTTGTTAAGCTATAGATGCCCCAAAAGGAATCAAAATGCAAAGAGTCCTCTTCCTGCAGTCTTGGTGCAATATTATTAATTAATAACCCAAGACAAAGTTGATGGGATAAAGAATGCTACACTACAACAGAGTGGGTGATGGGTCAGCCATTAACTGTGCAGTTGCAACCAAAACCACCTCTGAAAATAGTATTTGTGGCATGCTGAGATTAGAAAGTCTTCATATCAGACGTAGTAGCTCTAAGAACCTTTAGTTCCCAACAGAAAAACTAGATCAGAGGAAAGAGCATAGCTTAGTAGATAGCTACTCTGCATGTAAAATAAATCCTCAGAAGCTCCAGGATGAGTAGGTAAAATTTTACGCCTGGAAATGTGAAAAGCTTCTCTGTCAGTCAGCACCAACAACATTAATTTAGATAGTTCTAGATTCAATATAAGGCAGATTCGTGGAAACATTTGTGCAACAATGCATTGATCAGGTTTTTCCATTAACACTGGGCACAGAGAAAGGGACTGGCATATATTGTGGGGTACACATCCCATGAATCCTTATGACTGACCGTGTTGATGGGACTTACCGTGTATCACATCTGGAGGCCTAAGGTTCCTCTCATTGGTAGAGAGGCCTGCCTCAATTTTATTGGGAATACAGTTGGCTTCCCCCTAATCCTTCAAATTCCAGAAACACCAATATTTCTCCTTTCTCTTTCAATCACCGTTGGCAGAGCACGGTCATTTCAGCACAGATTATGACTCTAAAATGAGTTATGAGGATCCAATTCTATTTTTCACTGAAATCAGAAATCATCTTTAGGAAAATGGAAAGGGGCAATTTCAAAGTAAAAAAACAAAAGATAAAGAATGACTACCAAAAGGATAAGAACAGCTATGATCAAGCCCTTAAAAATGTAGGTGTAACACCCACCTATCCAAATGTTGTTGGAAAAATAATTTATGCTTTAACAGTCTTGGAATAAAAATGCAGGAAGAAAACATGTTGATTAAGCCACTCAAATGCTGCAGAGCTACTGAAAGGCAAGAGTGATTCAAATTGTGTCATTCAGTCCAACGAATCAGTGGTTGAAGTAAAAGTCTTTATAAAGCAGCACCGAATCTGGTGCCCTCCAGGTTGTTGAGTAATTCCCCAAATCCATGCTGTTGGGGATGCCGGATTCACAGTGCTACAGATATGGTGAGCACCAGTTTTAAACATCTGGACAGCTTCAAGAATTTAGTTTTCTGAAGGTGGTGTGTTCCAATTACCAAACTAGCTTTTAATTTGAAGCAAGTTTTTTATTTTTTATTTATTAAACAAATTTATATGGCCACCCAAGTCACACATAGTTGACTCGAGGTGGTTTGCAACATTTAAAAATCCACAACATAAAAACCCCTTATTACACCGTCCCCTCATGGTAGCAGCAACACAATCAAATCAACTGCTTGACTGGCTCAATCTCCAATTGTGGTCCTCAGGCCTCCTGACAAAACCATGCTTTTAGGTCATTTTAGAAACACTACAGGGTGAGTCCCAAAGAGTTTTTTCATGGACAATCATGACCTGGATGACTGAGAATCTCCATAGACAACAGGGTGAGGATCAACCATATCTTGCGTGGAATTATGTTCCATAAAGAAGAGATCACCGCCAAGGCGGCTCTTTTTGTGGTCAGACTGAAGCAAGCAGAAGGTGTGTGTGTGGAGGGGGGTAAGATTCACCCATTTTATTTTTCTCCCTCAGGGAGCAGGAAATCCAGAATGGAAAGATAGAACATACCAGAGGGACTCATGATGTTAGTCGGAAGGTCTTAGATAGTTAAATCTAGTTTGGCTCACAAAACTCAATGGGAAATTTGTGATTCAGTGTGCTGTGGAATCATTGCCCTTTTTTTAGTTTATTGTGTGAATTAGACCATAGTATTAAGCAAAATGGCTGGATTTCTGTGGCACCATTTCAAACTTCTTCTGAATTGGGACTTTAAGGGTGAGGAAGGGATCAAATTGCATTCACTCAACCTAATACCCCCTTCCCACAGAAGTTCAAAAAGCTCTGATGAGATCACCAGAAAGGGACTTAATAGCTGAGCAAAACCTTGAAAGTTACCCATTCCTTTATCAACCACAATATGGCTAGCTTAAGCATTTCAACGTGTAGAAGACAATAAAATGAGATACAAAATGCAGTGATATGAGAATTAAGAAATGATGGCAAAGGCTACATCCTGAACTTTATTATGAGGAGGGACCTGAAAAAGTTGGGAGTAAGGGCCAATACAATGATTGTTGGGAACTGCTGAAGTTTTGAGAACTTGCAAATGCAAAGTCTGTGAACCGTCAGCTCTTTCTATCTTGCCAGTATGTACAGCATGCTGATGGAGTACAGACAAAACCAGATTTAGCCAAATATTTATTATTGATTACAGATTTATATGCCATCCATTTCCCAATTCACCCACATTCAGATATAATTGTCCCGCTCTTCCTACTACCACTTCTATCTAAGCCTCTTAATAATGCTTGGAAAAGGCTATGTAATCATTCAAAAATCATATGAGATCGAGGTACTATAACACAACATGTGCAAACAAGTTTAAAGCAACTACACCTACAGGTTTTTTTTCAGTAAACTAGGAAAATTTCAGAGTACAGGTAAGCTCCCCCAAAATGTCATGACTTGTCATCTTTCAAGATGTTTGCTTACTCAGCAACTAGAATTTGCAAAAGGACAAAAAAAAAATCATGTGGCAGAGATTTAGCTGATGAGATTTGTAAGAATCAGGAATATAGCTACAACTTCTAAAAGTTTCTTCAAACCATCAGAGGAAACCTATAGATAGAAGAAATGCAACCAGGTATTATGAGGTAGACTTAAGAAGAACAGAAGACTCAGACTCAAAAGAATCTTTTCCAAACAGATGTCTCCAAGCAGCTAGATTTGGCTGGTTTACACAAATTTAAACCCCATTTGGAAGACACTAGGTTAGGGAATCCAGCTACATAGTATGTTGGTCCCAAGCTGAGATTAATAGGGAGATCTGGAGAAAACCTTATGATCAGAGGTGGTATTCAGCAGGTTCTGACCAGTTCTGGAGAACCGGTAGCAGAAATTTTGAGTAGTTCAGAGAACTACTACCTCTGACTGGAGATTTTACAGTATCCTTCCCTGCCACACCCACCAAGCCACGCCCACAGAACCGGTAGTAAAAAAAATTGAATCCCACCACTGCTTACTATGTACCCTAATGTTTATGGAAAAGTTGTCAAAGAAAAGTTCAGAAATGGTACAGTATTAGAAACCATTTTTGCCTGGTACTCCCAGGCTACTTGGGAAAAAGAAGAAGGATAACAATGTACTATGAGCAATCTAGGAAATTATAATGCAGAAAGGGAAATTTTTGAACACTGAAAGACTATGACAAAAGGAACCACTTACACTGGAAGAAACTGAACAGAATTGATATGTGGAATGTCTCAAACATGAACTATGAAAAGCTAAATACCAAGAAAGAAATGATAATGACCAAATAGGCATTCCTGGCATCACTGGGATCATTTTTGCTCAGATGAGTTTATGCAGTACTGTTCTGGAAGTGACACCATGAGAAGGAATGCAGTAGCACTAATAACAAATGAAAATCACCAATCAGTTGACAGCTTCCAAGCACTAAATGCAAAAATAACGGCTGATCAAATCCAAGCTAAATCTCTGAATGTCTCATTTGTTGAAATGTATGCACCAACAACAGAAGTATCTGAAGAACAGCTCCATGCTGACATTCAAGTAGTGTTATAAAAAAGTTCAAAAGAGATAAAATATATTTTATGGGAGATTTAAATACCAAAATTGGAAGCAATTAAGAAGCAGAAATTGTTGGCAGATATTTTTTAATAGAAACTGGCCGAGGATTACCAATGCAAAATTTATTCAACCCATATCCTACTTGTATACCTGAACATTCCAAATACATTGTATTGCAATAAAATCTATTATATGCTTTTCAGCCAATGACGGAAAAACAGTTAGCTCTGTTCAAACTTTACCTGTTGCAGACTATGATTTGGATTATCAACTACTTGTAGTCAAAAATGATTTTAACTGAAATTCTGTAACACAAAAAAAGATATGGTACTAACCTAGGAACGTGATAGTGACAAGATTTCATCTTTATACAATACGTAGTTGAAATAAAAAAGAGTTAATTAACCATGGAAAAACAATCTAATAAACTATGGAAAGAAACAACAATAAAAAAATCCCATTTCAAATAAACAGCTCAGAAACATGTCCCATACCAAAATCTAACAAAGATAAGCAAACGGCTTTCTGTGGAAATCATCCAAAGAAAAGGTAAAGGCATAGTTAACAAAGCAAGATAAACGAGTACTTACAACTTATAACTAGAAAAGAATGACAAATACTAGGATGAGCATTGTACACAATGAAAGACAGAAATAAAAAGGATTACTTTTTGCCTTAAGAAAACTCAGACACCATTCACTACAGACAAAGAAAAAATAAGGGGCAGAAATGGTGGTGGGGGGACAAATGATAAGAAGCAAATAAAATATAAATAGAAGGAATACACTGTATTATGGCATTGGATAAAGTAATAATGTTACTTTACTCATAACACAACAGAAATTTGAAGGGAGATCAGATATATTGTTCTTGTGAGCAGCCCAGAGTTGTCTCTTAAGATGGATGGCCATACAAAAAATATTAAAAATAGTTTTAAAAATATTAATAGATATTAATATTTATTAATATATTGCTATTAATAAATATTTAATTAATACATAAATTTTTTATTATTAAAAATACAGTAATAAAATAAAATAAATTATTGGAACTCAAGATATCATGAGCCCTGAAGCAGTTATCCAGAGAGACCCTGGAAGTGACATTTTATCAAAACTGCTTAAAAGCAACAACAGCAGCAATTACATTAAATAAAAATATATGGGATGCCAGTGAATGGGTGAAAGACTGGAAAAGGTCAAGTTCATCGCAATCCCCTCAAAAGGATGACACTCACAACTGCTATTCAAAAGCCTTGAATAGCAAAAATTTGTTGAAAATCTTATAACTGGGTCAAACCATGAAAAGAGCTGTCCAACACATAGAAGAGGAAGTAGTACTTGAGATCACAATGCAAATGCTAGAACAAGCATGCATATTTCAAAAGGATATATATTTATTCTTCATTGACGATACTGATCTTTTCAATTACACGAAAATTTTATCCAAGTATCTGTGAGAAATGAATGCTTCAGGATGATTGATTAAATCAATAAAACCATTACGCAACAACAAAGAAGGCACTGTCAGAACACGGACTAGTTCAAGACTATAAAAGACGTCTGGCAGGGCTGTATTCTATCCCCTTTGATATATACATAGAGGCAGTTTTAACTAAGATAAATCAGAATTGGAAGAAAGATTAGTGGCAGGAATATTAACATTTAAGAGATGCAGGTGACACGATATTACTGGCAGAAAATGCTACAGAACAAATGATTCTAAATACCAAGAAGTTTAAGTTTATAAAAACAGTTGGAAATTGTGATATCAATACAAAAATTGACTGAATCAGCCCAGGACTTTATTAGTTTGGTTCCAAAAATGACTGAAGATGTCTAAACCAGAATTAAATGTAGAATACCATTAGCCCTGCTACACTGAGTGGAAGAGAGATCCACAAAGCCATGCATCTTAATGCGAAGTGCAGAATAGTAAATATGATTGCTTTTCTATAACTTCTTAGGATGATGAAAACTAGACATTAAAAAAGTGGATAAGCTCCTTTAATGTATGTGTTTGAAAATGTCTACTGTGCATATTTTGGACAAAAAATAACAAACACAGATATTTTAGATTGCATCATTCCAGGAATAACACTGGAAGCTAAGATTGCCTAGCTAAGGCCATCTTATTTTGACCATATCATGTGATCAAATTCCTTAGAAAAATCAATTATGTTGAGAATAGTTGAAGGCACTGATAAATGAGGCTGGTGAAAAAAAATGCAGAACTGATATTATCAAGCAAGGTACTGGTTTAAAGCTTCAAACTTAATAAGATATTGGAAAGAATGGAGATAACTGATCTTAAAGGGTCTGAAAGTTGGATGAGACTGAATACAGGTAGTCCTCGACATACAACAGTTCATTTAGTGACCGTTCAAAGTTACAATGGCACTGAAAAAAGTGACTTAGAACCATTTTTCACACGACCACTGTAGCATCTCCAAAATTCAGATGCTTGGCAAGTGGTTCATATTTGTACGATCAGTGTCCCGGGATCATGTGATCAACTTTTACAACCTTCTGACAAGCAAAGTCAATGGGGAATCCAGATTCACTTAATAACCATGTTACTAACTTAACAAATACAACGATTCACTTAACAACTATGGCAAGAATAGTCATAAAATGTGGCAAACTCAACAATGTTTTACTTAGCAACATAAATTTTAGACTCAATTGTGGTCGTAACTCAAAGACTACCTGTAGATAAAGGGTTGGGTTGGGAAAGGCTACCTAAACCCTCACTTGTCAGGCACAGTTAGCATGCTTTCTCTCTTCTTGATAATAAGGTGCAGAAATATATATTCATTTCCATTCAGAATTCACAATATTGGTGGATCTCTAAATAAATAAGGCTTCACTACATCCTTCTTCATTCAAAGAAGTGTTAATTCAGTGTATTCTTCTTTTTCTACTGCAATTCTGATAACAAACCTGAAGGACTATAAGCAAGTGATAAGAATGGTCATTGATCAAGAGCTGGCTACCTTCTCAGTCCTGAGAGCTGCTCTCTCAACTTTCTTATCTGCAGCAGCAGTCCCTTTGTTTACCAGAAAATCAAGTTTCAGACAGAATAGTTAAAGCAAAGAGAAAAATAAGTGATGAAGTTGAAAGAGAAATCCTTTCAGGAAACTGGAGACCCTTAACATGTGGAGCAGCTTTTTATCTCCAGGATATTTCCCTCGTGTCCAATGGAAACAGAAAGATGAAAATGGGTATCTCCACAAACTGATTTTTCCCCTTTCTCCTATTTGCACGCACACTGACATCCCTAGTTTATGTAGTTATTATTTGCATCTGCTAAAATCTCCTTTGGCCAGTTAAAACAGATACCACAGTAAATTTAGGTAGAAGGGCTTATTTATCACCTTGAATTGGCTTTATTTGCTTCTAGACTGATATATAATCCCAGCAATTCTGATTTGTAAATCAAAGTGTCCATCAAAGCATGCTGTGTGAACCCAGCTGGTGTGGATTGTTCCATTAGCTGTGGTAAAAGAGGCCTGACTTTAGCACAATGTGTAAAATGTGTCTCCAGACAACTTCACTATGTGACAGGACCCTCAGAAGAACTGCAGGATCAAAATCCTTCTTGTTTCACATTCACAATGAGCAAAAACTATCTCTCAGAAGCTGTTAAACATGATGTCAGTTCTGAAGCTTGATTTTATTTATTTATTCATCAGATTTTTACATGCCCACCTAATGATTCTGGGCAGTTTACAATAAAACGGTTTTCTGTTGATATTTCCCAGCAACTGGGAACAAACTGGCTCAGTTCACATATTGGCCTATAAAGTAATGGGGTTGAGTATAACTATAGTTCAGTAAGAATCCATACAGTCCCAGTATGGTAACCATCACATTAAGCCATAACATAATTTATTTTGGGGGTGTATCAAGTAGATGAACCTAGCAACTAGAGGTTTATAATCTGGATTAATCGGAACCTACCTCAACTCTGAAAATGGCAATTCATGTCTAGCTAACCTGCCCAACAGACCCCAATCATTCTGAAACGAATGGCATTCAAGCAAGTACACAAGGCCATGGCAAGAGACCCTTAAAAGAACATTTATAGCTCAGGATTAAAATGAGGGGTCCTCAGTTTTCTGTGCCCTTCGTTGTTTTATTGCAGACTTTCCATTACTCAAACTAGGTAACCTCATCAGATGGAAGATCTTGGTGATCTCATCACAAACTATGTCCCCCTCCCCCCAATTCTTTACACTCCTTTCCCAAGCCTCGGTCGATCTCTGCCCCACTTGCTCTTAACGGCAGTTGCTCTTCCCAAACCCCATCTCACCCCATTCCCACCCCGAGTTAACGCGGGCAGAGCGGACGAGACGCTGTCGGGGCTGCCTTCCCACGTCCCCGCCGACTTACTTCGCGGAAAGCGTGTTGATGGAGCCGGTGATCAGCATCAACGCCGCCAGGCAGAGCTGGTACTTTGTCCAGGCCATCGCTGCTCTTTGCCGCTCTCAGTATGCAGCCGGCCCCAACTGTCCCTCTCAGTGGTTCGGGTGCATTTCCTCCTCGGCACGTCACATGACTGCCGTCGATCAGCTGACATCGGCTGCGCTGGCAAAGGCGCCCACGGTCTGCGGGACGCTTTCTCAGCAGCAGCAGCGACTGTGGGGGAGAAGCGGAGGCTATACGCTTTAACCGAAAGCAGGCAGGAGTTCAGCCGGTGAAGCTTCCTCTGCTGTTCAGTTTGTTAATGCCAAGAGGGGTTTTGTCCTTAATTGCTGGCCTCCCTAACGATCGCGGTGTGCAATGTTTGAGCTGCAATCTTAAGGAGTGATGGTTGAAAAAAATGCTTACTTTGAGCCAAGCATTTTAGGGAAAGACACAGATTTTGCTGCTTCGGCGAAGTGACGAATAGCAGAGCTGGGCAGAAATTAGGTTTGCTAGTACAGATTACAGATACGGAATTGAAAGTGCAGGGAAGAAGGAAGTGTTTCTGCTTATCCCATTCTGCTTATTTAAGATTGCTCATCTTTAAAAAAATAAATAGAATTAGGCATGGTTAATACTTGGGTGGGGTACTACTAAGATATTCCGTTCCTGAAGGCCAAACTGAAAAGTGGAAAAAACATTTTGAAAGAAAGCATTGGCACACTATAGCAATACTATGGCAAAGAAAATTCCACGCATACACCCAAATAATCTGGACAAATCCAACACAATTTGTCTTTTCTTTACTTGACATGCCATGCTTCCTGATAGTGAGATCAAATCTCTGATTTACCTCAGACTGGAGATTCTAATTCTGATTTTTTTAAAATTGGCAGAACAATTACACCATGAATGAGAGCAAAAAGTAAAATTAATAGCTTTTTTGAGGTTGGTTGATCATCAAGAGGCTTACATTTTTGAATGTACAAGGAGATGGTCCAGGAAAGTGTTCAAATAAATTATTTGGATTCAAAAATCTGGTAAATTATCTAAAATTTTGTGAATAATTACTATCTATATGCCATCATCTTTGGCTACTCTCCTACATTTAATTTCACCAATCATCTCCTTTTACTATTTTCTCCTCTGCTCCAACAAATCTGACACAGCAGTGTATTCTCTTGCAAGGATAATGCTGCACAAATTTAAATGAAGTGATTCAAATGTAGCCAATTTTAATGTTGATATTTATTTTAATATTTTAATGTTTTATCTTGTCTTACTTGGTTGTAAGCCACAGAAGAGTTGCCTCTTGATGAGATGGACGGATACATATTTAACAAATATAAATTTGTATTCCAAGAAAAACTATGTTAAACCACTGTTATTTTAACAAATGTCCCAAGACTTTTTATTGTTTTCACTGTTTAGACAATTAATTTGTTTAGTTTAATTATGTTGAATTTAGGCAGGCACACAAGGCCAGTAATAAGTTCTGGAATGCCATATTTTGGAACAATAGCAAGGCAAGTGTGTAATGTTTTACCACACTTCAATGTGCTGAGCCCATGTAGTTGGGTGTGACTTGGGACTTCACACTTTCTAGAAATCTACCACAAATATTTCCAGGCACTTGCTTTGCTACTGTTGCAAAGCACATTGCTATGTTATACAAAGTCAAAATGTGACCCTCACTTTTGTTTACATTTGCACTCAGGCTAGAACTAAAAAAACCCCTAAGAGTTGACAACATCTGAAACGGCCATCTTATCCCTCTTAGCAGAAATTGCTGTTTTGATTAATATCCTGAATATAGTTGGTTTGCTTGCAGAGCTGCGAGAATCTCGACATGTTTTCTGTTCTGCAGGGTCCAAAGAAAGATAGTGGCAATAAAGTGGTGAAGACAAAGCAAAAAAGTCAATTGGAAGCCTAAGTTAGCAATGCCTGACTAAATATATGGTTTTTTCAGTAGATAATATCTATCAAGCATGACGAAAAAGAAGTGGAAAAATAAAATCCAACAGAATAACAGTGTCTCAGCCCAATTTGCTTCATAGCTTGGTGAAAATACATCCATTGGTATATACAAGATTTAAAGAAGTGCCTCCATTCTTAAAAACATTACATGTGTAAATTTAGATTTTTATTATATTATAGTTATTTGCATATACAAACATTGAAAGCTCTTTTAGTCTGTTGAGCTTGATGGTTCATCTTGAAATTAAAAAAGCTTTTGAAGCATATACCTAGTTTCCCTAAGAGATTTACTGTGCCCAAGACAACATAACAACCACAACTAACATTCCTCCTGACATTTTGAATTATGTCTCATTAGGCAACTGATGAATTTGGCTGTATGGTTGACTGACCACATTTTCTTGAGTTGAGAACCAAATTCAATACCTGACAACTTTATTGTTAAAAGTGAAGAAGCTATTATTAGCTTATTATTCCTGAGTGATAGAGCTGCTTTGCCTGGAATACATGCTGTGCATTAAATCTACTGAAACCTCCATTTTCCTGCTGCAGTATACAGCAGTGATGGTTAACCTTTCCATCCTTGCGTTCCAAAAGTGTACACACATGCATGTGCATGTGCGCACTTGTGCCAGTAACCATATTGCACAACACGCATCTCTGTGCATGCGTACACGTCTCCTGAGCGGCAGCTACCTGATGATCAGCTGGTGAGCAGGTGGTGCACAAGCACCTGTGCAGTGGACCTGCTCAGGGGCAATGGCTCACATGCCGGCAGAGATGGCTCTGCATGCCACTTCTGGCCACACATGCTATAGGTTCGCCATCATGGGTATACAGTATACAATGTACCATGTGGGAGCACCATCACTTGAGACTTTAAAGAAGAGATTGGACTCCCATCTGTCAGAAATGATGTAGGGTCTCTTGCTTGGGTAGGGGGTTGAACTAGATGACTTACAAGGTCCCTTCCAACTCTGATTATCTGTTATCTGTACTATATACAGATTAATGCCCTCTACTTTTTGGGTTTAATTTTTTTTTTTAGTAACCATAGCACTATTTCTGAAATCTCATATAATGTAAGATTTTTGGCTTGATGTTAAATTTTGGACTGTGCTCTAAAATTACCTGGGCAGCAGAATAGGCCAAAGTTCTTATATTGTTCTGTTGTGGAAAGCAATTTTCAGAGCTGTCTTCACAGCTGACCAGTCTAAATGCAAGCTAGCTGGGATAGGTTTCCAACAGTATCTGACATGGACTTCATCACATATTGAATCAAATCCTCCAACCTTTCTCTGCCACAGAGAGGAAGGTTTTGAGAGACTGCAAGCAAATCTCTGAGAAAATGGAGGCAAGGAATAACTGCTGACCAAGGAAGGAAGAACTGAGTTTTAAGAGGTAAAGGGGAACTAGAGGCAATGCTTATTTTCAGGACTCTTGTTTATTTCTGTAGAACTAGGTAAGCATTTAGGTAAGACTTTGCTATTAGCATTTTGATTTGATATGAATATGCTAGCTAAATCTTTATTGTAAATTTGTGTTTATGTCTCTAAATAAAATGATTCATATATAATTCCCATAGTTGTCATGTATTTTGGATTGTGTTCGAGAATCTAGCTTTATAGGCTTTAAATGATCAGTTTTCTTTCAAAAGCAGGAGTTATATAAATCTGCAGCTGCACATGGATAGAAGATAATATTTGTAGCTCAGGATTGAACCCTGGAATCCTTGGGGCTCTCTGAACTTAGTTGTTTTCTTGCAAATGTTTCATTACCAAACACTGCCTGATGTTATTTAGTTTGGTAAGAAAATAACCAAACTCAGCACTTGCAGCTGAACAGTAAAGTGCTCAATCCCACCACATAGTCTTGATGGGAGCAATGGTCTTGTTTCCCATGAAATTTGGCAGCTATGTAAGTTGTCTTGTTTGTCAGAACTGTTAATATTTAAAGTTTAAAAGGGCTACTCCATTAGAGTTTATTTTTCTTTTCTTTTAAATAAAGTTTCATTTTGTCTATACCCCATGAGATTGGTTTATCTCCAAGGACAGAAAGGTTAAACATCTGGTCACTTGGGTGGCAGATGCCCAGGAGTTTATGTTATAGCAATCCTTAAAAAATAACCTTTCACCTAGTAATTGTCACATAGTCATACAAGATAAAGAAGCTCTATATTTCTCATATGCCAAGGTTAAGGGGAAGAATAGCAAATGAGGCATTGTTCAGAAAATAGTTTGTGGCAATGAGAACTAATCCAGGATAGGAAGCCAGGTCTGGGAGTAAAGAATCAAAGAGCTTTTAGGCTGGGAGCTTCTGTCTAGGAGTTCTGTTGAGTTGCTACAGTGTCGCAAAATATGTATTTGGTTTTAGATTAGCTTGTTGTATGATCCCAGCAGCAGTAATTGAGTTCATACAACATTAGGTCAACTGAGAACGTAGCAACTGCACTAGCCAAAACATGCTAGACTTGTTAGGTTTATTCGGTTTTTAGTGGCATGTTATATTGTGCAAATTCAGCCTGCTTGATCAGCTTGAAGGCTCAGTGTAGAATGGAATGAGAAATATTGACTGATTTAGTAACCAAGATAAGTGGGTTGTGTTGTATAAAATCTATTATGGTTTAAAATGTTCTGTGAATTAAGCAAGTACTTCCAAACATGAAGAAGCAAGAATTGTTTCTTCTTTTTATTCCCATAAAACTTTTTGAGGCTTTTGCCTCAGTCTAAGATTACCTCTTCATTTTCTACTGTATATATCTAAGAACTCTTTTTCATACCAAGAAACTTGATCAGGCATTGATGAAACAGCTACATTTCCCCTCTTGTCATCCCTTCCCATTTCACCTTTATGGTTGAATTATTTTATCTACAGTACGTAGAGTTCTTGCACCAATTATCAATTTTATACCAATTATAAATGTTATAATTGGCTGGTGTTGCTTCAGCATGGATTTTGATCTTTTCTTAATATGAACAGGTCTACTTTCCCCTAACCCCACCCCCCCAGTGCTGTGTCTGTCTAATCTTCTTAGAACTCCTAATTTAGTCTTGGGTGAGGAGTGGAACCTTATTAGAATTGCTGGCAGGCAGCAATATCTTGACTCTTGCCATATTTTGAAAGGCCAAATGATAGAATATGAGAATTAAATGCAAAA